TTGGTCATGCTGTTAGGAGGGGCGAGTCCTTGGTAAAAGATGTCATGCTTGGGAAAGTAGAGGGTCATCGATGAGAGGAAGACCCTCAATGGGATGGATTGATGCAGTGACTGCAACAATGGGCTTGGTCACGGAGGAGTTTGTGAAGATGGAGTAGGAGAGGGTAATCTCCCTGGAGTCCTTGTGGACCAGACCCCGCCCCGCCCCCCCCCCCAACATCTCAAGACTTAAGCCCTGGAGCACTCACCTTCCCTACTGGTTCTGCATTTCCTTTTCTGTGAGCTCCCTGGAAATTGCAGAAGGTGACTTTTGAGAGATAATTCTCACCTTCTTATTTTTCTGCACAACGGAAGCCATGGGTGGGATAGAATACTGCACCCTCTCCCCAAATCTGTCCAAAGTCAGAGTCTTAAAAAAGATAAATGATGCTTATCTAATCTGAATCTACGGCAACCTGACTGATTTCCTTAAAACTCCTATAACCCAAGGATGCCTTTCTTTCCCCAAATCTTCCCAATAAAAAGATTACACTGGAATTCAAATCTTCCAGGCCTTCCTTGTAGTCCAACTCAATTCTGTGTTTGATATACAAAGAACTCAAACTCTTCCCCATAACAGATTAAATTTTAATAAAACACATTAGGTACAGTAAAATATGAATGCACTGCTTAAAATTTTAATCCTAAATTACGGCCCAGATACAGGGAAGGAGGCAGAGATTCCCCCCCCTCAGGATGACTGGAGTCATAGGCTAATTTCAGCGTGGGGGTGTCCTGCTGCAGGGGCATCTCTACCTGGGAGCCTAGGTGGAAGTGTCAGTGGAAGCTCCAGTAGCCCCTCCTTGCTAAGCAGACAGTTGACCACACCTGTCAGCATCTGGCAAACAAGCAGTCTTAGTGAGAAGAAAAAAAAAACAAACCCAACATCTCATGGAGTCTGAGAGTTGCTCCATTTTCCATTTATTTGCTCTAAAACATTCTTCTGAGAGGCACCAGTGCACATCGATGCTTGAGCATAAGAATTTATATTGATTAAAGTCATATTAAGCAGGTTTTGGGTCTTCGACCACTCTTTTTTACCCCTTGAGTTTACTCTCACTTTCCCAACTGTTTAGATGGACCCTACACTGGGGAACAAACATCTTCCTTCTTTTGAGAGTGGCTTCCACACTCACCAGAGTACTTTACAGAAATGCCTGTGGGCAAAACCAAAATGGGTTTTATTGATATAATTGTAAAGACATTGGTATTCTGGATACTCCTGGAAGGAGAGATTGCAAAATTACAAGTTGTGGGGATGAAGGAAGCATTGCATTTTCTAACACAACATCAGCACTGCTGTTCATTTTTCACTCTGAATGGGAAAAGGAGAAATTAACTCTGTGACTTGATTGTTTTAAAATGTATGTGTTTTCTTAAGAGAGAGGACTCACATAAAAATGAACACTTGGATTGCTCTACAACTGCATTATCAATCAGTTTGATAATTAGGAGACAAGAGCTTTCATTTTTTTTTCTATTGGACATTATGACTATTTATACAAGAGATTGAAAAAGTTACATAAAAAGAAATTTCTTGGTTTCTGAATTTTAGTCATCAGGAAAACATTCTTCTAGGAGTTCTCTTGTTTGAATTGGTTTTAACACAAAAATAAAATATCAAACAAAGTCCAGCTATTCTAACAGGGTCCTCCTTCTTTCATGAATTTATCATACTACCTTATTTACCATATGAAGTGATGACAAGTGTTTAGCATTTTGGAGATCAGTTGTCAGTTGCTATTAAAATCAAGATTAATTCATATTAAGATATGCATTTCTCAATATTCCCAGGTGACAACATACATTAAAACAACTATTGCAAGTAATTAAGCTCAATAAAGGGGGAGGGGAGAGGGAGAGGTTCAAAACACCCCAAATATTTAATTTTGCGATCCAAGTTCAGCAGACTGTTGCCACAATAATGCTTGGGAAACTCCTCAGGGTTGCTCTTCACTTTACATCTAATTAGGCACCTAATGAAAGAGAAGATTTTTTCCCCCCATGTGGTTTGTCTCCTTGATATCCTTATGCCTTTATTTATACACATAAACACACAATTTAGGAAGTTCAATACCTGAAAGTTTTTCTTGTAACTCACTTGCTATCACAGTCTGAGAAAGCAGGTAGAGGAGGACAGCTTGCAGCCCCATCATTTTCTTCCTCCACTCTCCCTCTGTCCCCCTGGCCCTCACCCAATACAGGACAGAAAACACACTCAGAATATGTTTACGGGTTTTTATGAGGTGTTAGAGATGCTCAACAGTTTATACTAATTAGACCATCCAAAGCCTTTTGAAGATTAAACAAATTGGACAACCCTTGTTAATTAGAACATAATTTGAAGTTTGAAATTATATCACTGATGAAGTAGTCTAATTAGTATGATGATATGTTAATGGACCAGCGAGACACAGCAACAGTGGAGTTTGGTGCTAACATCTCCAAGGTTGGCGAGAAAATCCTCCCTCCTGTACCGACATTAATAAAAGATTTCTATAGACTTCAGTCTTTCCACGATGGCATACAATTTATAGTACACACAATGCATTAGCCCATAGTGCTGCTCAATTTTTTCACTATTATGAAAACTAATAAATTCGTCAAGCTGAATTAAGCATACAAATCAGATGAAGCATAGCAGATTACACAGCGAAGCCCGGTGTCTCCCGAGCCTAAATGAAATTTCAATCTAATAATTCCTTCCTAGCCCAGTCATAATTTGTTTAGAGATGTTGTTCTACTTCTTTCAAAGCGCTATTCGCACTATAATTAAATGATACTCAAGCTTTTAACTTTGATTTATTTCATTTCTTGAAGCTTGAGACAGTGAGAGCTGTACGATGTCGGGGTTTTTTATTTCCATGAAAATTACTCTGACTGTTGTGGAGGTAGAAATTAAACACCTAACCACTTACTTGAAGCGTCCGGCACAATCCACATTCACTCATATGTCAACATCCCCCGCCCCCCCTTCCAGCCCGTGTCCAGACGTCTTCGGGCTCACACTGGGGATACCACTCACAGGAATCCCCTTCAGCTACTATTATTTATTATTTTCTTTCCACATAAGGGAAGAGAAAAGCAATCCCAGAGCAGCTCCTAGAAAACCCAGCGGAGTTAAGGACCACGGACAGAGCCCGCCGCAAGCTGTAGGCAGCTGCCCCTGGGGCTCTGGAGACTCTTATCAACCAGCTCTCGCAACTTGAATGGGCTAACCTTGACGTTAGGAATGCATAGCCTAGCCTTCCACTCGCAGGCGCCACCACAGGGTTGCCTAACACTGACCACTGAAGGTTCCCCTTCGCCACGCTGTTTTTGTCCTCTGTTTTTGTCCCAGGGAGCGAGCGCCAGCGTCTCTCAGGCATGCCGCCTGCTGCAGCACCTGTTCGCCTTCCCCAGGCGCCATGGCTGCACCTGCTCCCGGCCAGGCCCGTCCGGGTCGGGCCACCCGTGGGGTCCTATGTCCGGGTCACAGGGCCTTCTTATAGTCGCCTTCGCTTGGCTCCTGCCACACTCTTGGGAGGTGACTGAGCAGCCCCCAACACCAAGGGAAGTAAAGAGAAGATGAGAGAAAGGAAGAGAGGAGTGTGTTTGTGTGTGTTAGAGATGGTCTTTCTTTTGCATTTGGAACTAAGAGTGTTGTGTCCACGTCTAAGAAGACTGGTGTTTGCCAGGACAAAAGTCCAAGCAAAGTGTCAGCTAAAAATAGATCTCGATGCTGAGTCGCTTTGGAAATGAAGATGTGTGGCGTGAGCCAACTCCATCGGGGTGTGTGTGTGTGTGTGTGTGTGTGTGTGTGTGTTGGAGAGGGGTGGATATTCTAAAGCACATGCGCTCTGTGATCTCTGGCCCTCCCCCCTCCCTCTGTCATTTGCCCCTTCCCCCTTTGATCGTGGTTAATGAAGAATAAAAAAAGAATCCTGTAGCAGGGTTTGCCAGTGGATCCACCCAAGAGCCAATTCACACAAAGTACTGGATAGTGAGAAGAGGAGGGAGAAAGAAGAGGAGGAGTTGCAAGATCAGGATCCAGATGAAGAGAAAAGGGGGTGAAGAGAACTGTTTTTGTGTATGTGTTGGGGGAGGTTCAGGGAGGGAGGAGTCGCATGCGCACAGGCGACCCCGGCGGGTTCCTCGGCCGTCCAATCCGCTGAGAGCTGTGAGAAACCGAGTACGAGAAAGCCCTGCAACCCCGCCGACCCCAGGTCTCTTCCGCACCAGGCACCCACCCTCCGGGCCGAGGAGGGAGGGCGCACAACCAAGAGCCAACTGCGGCGCGCATCAGTGTGGGCCCCGCAGAACAGCGCGAAGGACGGGTTTGGTGGCCGCGTCGCTGTTCTTCATGGTGACCGGGAGACTGGTGGTAGCAGGACCACCTGAACTGCTGGGAGGGGCGAGTCAAGTTGGGGAGTGGATTCTGGAATTTAGCGGGAAGCAGAAGGCGGGGGAGGAGTCAGCTAGATAGAAGGCGCTCCCCATAGTCTAGGGGGAAACCCATCCCAGGCTGGCTAGCACCGCAACTTTATTTGGCAGTTTCTTCTCTAGGAGAGGCTGGGACGGGGTGAAAGAAGTAGGAGGTGCTGAATGCCTGCCACTAGGTAGGCACTGCCCAGCGTCGGGAGTGGGCACCTGGTGAGCTGGGTGAGGTTGTACAGGGGCGCGAGAGTTAAGTGGGAGCAGCGGGGCACCAGGAAAGGGCGACACATCAAAGTGTGGGAGGGGAGAGGGCGGGGAGGTAGAGGGCGCGACGGGGGAGCAAGAGGAGGGGGTCCAGATTGCAGAAAGGACTGAAGCCTGGGGGAAGCCAAGAGGGAGAAGGGGCGACGGGAGAAACCCGGCAGGAGCCAGCGCTTCCTGGCAGGGGAGGGAGAAGACGAGCGTGAGGGAGGGAAGGAGGGCGGGGGGCGCGGGGGCCGGCGCGGGGAGCAGGGAGTATAACTCAGCGGCCGCCAGGCGCGGGGCAGTTGCGCGCGGCGAGGTCTGCAGCCAGAGCGCAGCAGAACCCGGCATCCCGGTTCAGGCTGACGGCGGAGGAGCGCGCAGCCGGGCTGGGCGCGCAAGAGCAGGAGGTGGTGGCGAGTGAGCGCAACTTCGCCGAGGTCTTGCCGGCTCGGGCTCCCGCCCCCTGCGTCTCCCGCAGGTCTCCGCGGCTAGTGGAGGCGCGCTTCCCAGCAGTGCGCGGGCGGTCGGGAAGATGATGATGATGTCCTTGAACAGTAAACAGGCGTTCAGCATGCCACACGGCGGCAGCCTGCACGTGGAGCCCAAGTACTCGGCACTTCACAGTGCCTCTCCCGGCTCTTCGGCACCCGCCGCGCCCTCGGCCAGCTCCCCTAGCAGCTCGAGCAACGCGGGCGGCAGTGGCGGTGGCGGCGGCGGCGGCCGGAGCAGCAGTGCCAGTAGCAGCGGGAGCAGCGGCGGCGGGGGCTCGGAGGCGATGCGGAGAGCGTGTCTTCCAACCCCACCGGTGCGTATTTCTGCATAATCACCGCTTAAAGGCACATTTTGACAGCCCCCTTTATCTGCTTGATGTTTTTTTCATGTCAGTACAGCAAATCACCCCACACCTCCAACCAATTTTCCCCCCTCGCTCTCTCTTATGTATTCAGCGGGTCTTGCCTTTCATATTAATTTTTATGACCTGGGATGTTGCTTGTGCGCGTGTTGTGTTGTGTTGTGTCTGCGAGCTCACTTTCTTCTTCCTCCTGTACCCTTGACTTCTCTTGGTGGCTTCCTTCCTCTCCTCTTCACCTTCAGTTTTCGGGATTATTCTTGCTCTTGCTATTATTATTATTTTAACGTTGTGGGAATGTTGTAGGCGCGGCGGCGGTGTCGAGTGCTGGGCCGGAGCTTCCGGGGAGAGCACACACAATTCCCTGCTGAGCGTAATGTGTGCCTTCTACTTGCAATTGCAGAGCAATATATTCGGTGGGCTGGATGAGAGCCTGCTGGCCCGCGCCGAGGCTCTGGCGGCCGTGGACATCGTCTCCCAGAGCAAGAGCCACCACCACCACCCGCCCCACCACAGCCCCTTCAAGCCGGACGCCACCTACCACACGATGAACACCATCCCGTGCACGTCGGCCGCCTCCTCTTCCTCGGTGCCCATCTCGCACCCGTCCGCGCTGGCAGGCACGCACCACCACCACCACCACCATCACCACCACCATCAGCAGCCGCACCAAGCACTCGAGGGCGAGCTGCTGGAGCACTTGAGTCCCGGGCTGGCCTTGGGCGCCATGGCGGGCCCCGACGGTGCGGTGGTGTCCACGCCGGCGCACGCGCCTCACATGGCCACCATGAACCCCATGCACCAAGCAGCGCTCAGCATGGCCCACGCGCACGGGCTGCCCTCGCACATGGGCTGCATGAGCGACGTGGACGCCGACCCGCGGGACCTAGAGGCGTTCGCCGAGCGCTTCAAGCAGCGACGCATCAAGCTGGGGGTGACTCAGGCCGACGTGGGCTCAGCGCTGGCGAACCTCAAGATTCCCGGCGTGGGCTCGTTGAGCCAGAGCACCATCTGCAGGTTCGAGTCCCTCACGCTGTCGCACAACAACATGATCGCGCTCAAACCCATCCTGCAGGCGTGGCTGGAGGAGGCCGAGAAGTCGCACCGCGAGAAGCTGACCAAGCCGGAGCTCTTCAATGGCGCTGAGAAGAAGCGCAAGCGCACGTCCATTGCGGCGCCTGAAAAGCGGTCCCTTGAAGCCTACTTCGCCATCCAGCCTCGACCCTCCTCCGAGAAGATAGCCGCCATCGCGGAGAAGCTGGACCTTAAGAAAAACGTGGTGCGCGTCTGGTTCTGCAACCAGAGGCAGAAGCAAAAAAGGATGAAATATTCCGCGGGCATTTAGGAGACCCTCGGGCTCTCCAGGGACTGCCCCTCCGTGTCTTCACTTCTCCCTCCCATGCTCTCCTGCCTCTTTTACTTTCCACTTTCAGCGACCAGAAACAAGGCCGGTAAATGTGAATTCAGAGAAAGCGCTTTTTAGAGAGGGAGCTGCGAAGGAGCCTGGCGAGAATGTGAAATGGTTTCTCATAGGAAAGAAAAACAAAGGAGCGACTGGACAAGTTGTAGCAAAGTTGCCCTTTTCAACTCGGAAAAGACACCTGGGTTTCTTCAGTGGAAGTCTGGAGCTGGCAATTTGCAGGAAGGCAGGCGGCACAGCTTTTTAAAAGGCTCCGAGAATGAGCAAGTAAGATTTGTTTTTATTCTTAAAGACATCGCCCTTGTCAAGTTTAAAAGTACACTTTGCAGCTATTTTTCAGAAATATGAATTGATTCAGGACTGAAATTTTAAACTAGAGTTGATGCTTAATGTGATAAAGACATCTCTAAAATATTTTGAATTTTAAAAAAAGATGGCAGATTTTCTGCATTTACACTGTATATGATATACATATATATTTTTTATTGTGATTCTTACCCCTTCTTTCTTTTCTTAAGTGTTAATGCTTAAGAAAGGATTGGCGCCTGCTGTGTTCACTGATCTTGAAAGCTATTATTAAATTATTGCCGAACAACCCTCTGTAAATTATTAATTTCTGTCTCTAGCAACTTAATTTGTGCACATTCTAATTAATTAGACTTCTTTAATCTTAAAAAAGAGGGGGAAACGTATGGCTAGCAAACTTAAAAAATTTATGTTGAGTGAGTTTATGGAATTTTTAAAATTTTCCTCTTATACTGGGTTCCTTTTGACCCATTTGTATATTCTCACTTTGAATGAAGATTGGTTTTTCTCTGTTTTAAATGGTCGTGTTCTGATTTGTGAGTATACACTCAGTAATGGATGTCTTAATGGTGCAGACCTGCTTCACTGTCTGAAGTATTGTTTACTTCCTTACATATTTAATGGGGATTCCCACATTGTCCTCTGTATGACATATACACTCTCTCACTCATTCTTACACCCACACAGACACACACCCACACAGACACACACACACACAAACACCTTTCTATGGGGAGAGAAGCAGTAGTTGAAAACATGATTATAATACTATAATGCATTCTATGTTAGCTCTAGGTGCATTTGGCATTTGGTGTTTACCCTTTCAGATTCTAAGATTCCCCCCCCCCAAGGTATTTCAGTCTCCCAGTTTGCAACTGCTTTATTTTAAGAATCTTTGGGGTTTTCCTTTTGGAGGTTTGTTTGTAGAAAAAGTAATTTAATTGATAAGAAAGACAGTGCACTGCTTGTAAATTCACACTGTTTGGTAGAATTCTTTTGGGACAAAAACCTTAGTTATACAATGACTGGTACCCTATCTATTGTAAATATTTCATTCATAATGATGCACATATAGATATATTCTTACAAACTTTCCTGTATTGCTGTTCTGTTTGAGGCGCTCTGAAGTCTTGAGTTCTGTATATGATCTGTTTTCTTGCTTTTGTTAATAGATGGTTTATTTACAATGGTAATGTATTAAGTTAATTTTGGTGTTGTTTAATTGTCCTTCTTTGAAGAAATAATTTTAATGTTTTATTGGCGAAGTATGCTGCTTTTTCATTAAAATGTGCTATTATAATTAAATGGCTTTAAAATGTGACATTGTTTAATCTTTTATTTGGGACTTATTTTGGTGGGGAATTTTTAAAGGTAGATGCACATTTTGATGTTTTATTGGGAAGTGCTTATTAGCCAAATCTGCTTTAGTATGGTAAGGGGATGTTTCTCTGGGAAAGTAAAATTAAAAGAGTTTATAACAGACTTCTAAACGCTGGAACTTATCTCCCAGTATGCTTTGGTTTTTTTACCCAGTTAAGAGCTTGATATTTGGTTTCAAAGACCTCCTTTGGAGTGTATTTTATTCATTCTGCAAAGAGAATCACCAGAGGTGTTGAATGGAAACAATTTTACCCTTCCCTTCCTATCTCCTATGGGTAAAAGGAAAAAGAGAGCTCAGCTCACTTTTTAACAGCTCTGGGAAACTGAGTGTGGCAAGACCCAGAGCCTGCGTTGGGTTGTGGGAGTGAGGCGTTTTGGTTAATGGCTAGGGGCTGACCTGTCAAGGTTCTCAGTTCAGCCATCACTCCTAGAGAACAGTGCCCAAACCAGAGCAAGAAGCACTTGACTTAGAATCTCTCTTTGCTCTTTCTTCTCCATTCCCTGTACAATTTAGTTCCTGCATGAGGCACAATGGAGCTGAGAAGGGGAGATACCAAGGGGTTAGAAGGAACAACTTTTTGTCCACTTCTGTGAGTTGCCCAGGAACCAGAGTTCCTAAGAGTCTGTCTAATGGGTGGTTTTAGACCAAAAAGTTTTGCTTATTTAAAGCACAGACTTTCTTCCTTTTTTTTTGTTAGTCTGAAGAGACTTCCTCAACTGTCTTAACAATTTTCAGACTTCCTATACAGTTAAGCAACATATTAGGTTTTAAGAGTTTTTAAAGGGGAGATATGATTTAGATATTTTTACATGATTGATGATGAGAACATCATACAAATCCAAGATCAAATATGAGGAAAGGACTAGGTCATACTCCAGGATTAATTCTGGTAAGCTAAGCTGTGACTTTTGTGAAATGGAACTATCTTGGAATGCCTTTTTCATCTGGCAGGTGAAACTAGTTTATAACTAGTCCATGAGTTGATGAAAATTGTTAAAATGGTTCAAGTTGATATTCAATATTGATGGAAAACTGCTTATGATTCATATGTAACAAGAGTAGTTGGATAGATGAAGACAAGAGTTACCTATTCTTTGTACAAGTGAAGTAAAAACAATTTCTAAATAAAGACAACTCAAGTGTCTGCTTAGTCAAGAAATTCATTGAATAGATGCCTAAGGAAATATTGAAACTTGTAGAGATTTCAAAGAAGGACATGTGAGTTAAAAAATAGTGATGTCTATGGTTTACTTTTATTCTTACATTTTGGAGGATGAAAAGTTACTCCACTTTTTCTTTCTAAAGACTTTTCATTCAGCAGCATCCATTCTCGCTATGCTGGATACTGCTTTCAGCACCAAGGATAGCAACCACAGGACTCAGGCTTAACTCCAGCCCCTTTGCTCAAGCAGTTTAATCTAGCAAGGGAACTTTCTGCTTGTTTTCTTTATCCAGAGTAGAGAAAGAGAAATTACATGAATAACATGTGTAGCAGATAATAGTTGATGATCTAAAGTGAACATTGCCTTCAATAAGCAGTGTTTCCTATTTTTTCATATGTGTTATTGAAGAAAATTAAGGTATGTATGTTAATAAAGAATTAGTTGGAGGGAAAAATGACTGGTTTATTAGTATGTCTTTCCACAAATACTTTTTCCACTTAAAGTCTTTAAGTGAAAAGAGGAATCCTACAAAGTATTAAGCATTTAGAATTGTATTGAATATAATGATAATTAATTTATTCTTTTTAATAGATTTTAGGGTACATGACAATTTGTATTCATGTTTAAAACTGTTATAAGGAAAGTAACAGATCAACATATATTTGTTTTAAAAGTTAAGAGAAAGGGCCTACATTTCTCCAAATTCACCAAATAATTATTTATCTCCTGTGTTCCACAGCCTTAAACTTCTTACATTTTAAGATCATCTTTTCTAAGTATTGCAAGGGCAAATAAAACTTTGTTGCCTGCAAAATGAAATTTGTTTCCCTATTCTGAGAGATTGGTAAAATGTGTTCATTTTTTGGGGAAAGCATAATATGAAAAAGAAGCACATTCTGAAAGTGTGTATTAATGAAAGATGAAGAGATTCAGCAAAGAAATTAGATGAGCAGAGGGCTGGTGTTAGAGAAGGCACTAAAGGTAAGAATAGAATGAAGTATATTTAAATTGTTGAGAAATATCCATTTTATATAGACTTTCAAAATATTATATTAGATAAAGAATAAAATACGACTGAAAAATTTTGTCTTAGTAATAAAATTGACTTTCACAACTCATTTCCTCATTTTCCCTCAAGGTCCATAATTTTCTGATTAATGTAAACAGCATGTGTAGGCATCTTGAGTTTTATGTTTTGGAAAAATGTAGTTTATATTTTCATATTTAAAAAAACCCTTCTCTTCAAACAAGGTGATGAAATCTTTCTCTTGTGCTGATTGGAATCAAACAGAGTTAGAAAAAGAGATTAACACCAAGGATTCTTTTTAAAGGCCTGGTTGGTATGAAAGTACTCTGTACATGAAAAACATTGGGTTCCTGTCCAGAAAGAATGATGTTTCTTTTGGATATGTGATATTAAATCAGTTGGTCAATTGTTTTACCAGACTAAGTTTCATTGACACGTAGGAAAAAGAACAAAAATGTGGAAAAAATTAATAAAATAATAAGTTACAAGCAATACTATTAATTTTCTAGAAAATGTATCTTAAAATAATTGACAACACCCAACTAAGTTTTGCTATCAAAGATCAGCTTAGGACTCTCTTTGCCAAGAGAATTGGAATTTTGCCAAAATCTTTAATGTATAGGAATAAAATGCTTTGTTTTAGAGAAATCATTTCATTTTGATCTTTTGGGGAAGCTCTTGATTAAATGGTGAGAAGATACTGAAAAATTAATTTTCTTTTAAAAATAGTATTATTCAAAGGATGAAGTTAAAATATTTCTGGACAAGCTGTGGCAATAAGTTTAGAAATTAATTTTTGCAGTGATTTGGTGAGGACTCTTTTTCTTTAGGTAACCCAACTGCCTTGGAACTCAAAACTGCTCTTTGCTTTCTGGTTTGCCTCTGAGGGAGGGCTGCAACAGACAGGGAAAAGAAATAACTTAGATTGGTGTCCTGGTAGGACAAAAAGACAGACAAAGATTCTTGCATAGTTATGCAGATGGGATTGTTCCTGAAGCCCACATTTGTCAAAAGATAGATTTATGGCAATGGGAAGGAAATCACTAAATTCCCCATGCTTTACCCCTTTAAAGGAGCCATTCCCACTACTGAAAGGCTATTATGAGTGAATTAATAAATTACACAGTGAATTATTAAATCCAGATAATTACAAGGAATAAGTAAGTAATCATTAGTTATCTCAGCTAATTACTGTGGGTCAGAGCCAGCCGGAATGTGAAATCCTCCTCGGGAATTGAAATTAACTTTGCACAGTGAGTCTCTCTGCTTGACATCCCCAGTCTGTAGGCACATGGCAGCTCCCCAGTGAGCCAGTCTTTCTATTTAACTTGGAGAGAATAGAAATAAAATTAAGTGGCGATGTGATAATAGGTAGCTGCTCGGAAAGCAAACTGTGGATTTTATTCTGTGCTTTAATGCCTAGAGATGAAAAGCTGTATTTGCAGCAAATTTTTAAAAATTGAAAGCACCCTTGTTGAGACTGGTTCCTGAAACACTCTTAGTTCACATGTTTAAGTCTTCTGGTGTGACAGTCACGTTAATAGCACATGAGGAAGGTTCAAGAAGAACAAGGTGTGTGTGTGTGTGTGTGTGTGTGTGGTGTGAGGGGGTGCAGGTAGCAGTGAGAAAGAAAGGAAGTGAAAATATTGTTCTTTGCTTTCATCCTGCACAGTGGAAAGGCTGTCAAAAAGTGCAGCCCAGTATAATAATCTGTTTGTTTTGTTTGGGTAACAATATGCTTTCATCTTGCCACAGGAAGAACCAGCTTAGTGCAAATGTTGTCTCTGTTGATCTTTCGCCAGATGCTTCAAGAGCTGATGTCATTCCCCCCCCCCCATATAGCAGCACTTTCTGAAGCCAGCCTCCCCTACTTTCTCTCCCTCCACTCCCATCAACCCCCAGGCCTTCTCAAAGCGCAGAGAAGACAGTGAAATCTGTGCCTATTGGAAAGTGGAATATGTATCTGGGTGTAATGTGATTGTGTGTATCACATGGCAAGAAGAAGATTGGAAGTAAGAAGAAAACTGCTGTTAGTGTATTAAAATGAGGGGGGATCTAAGAGCCCCCTTTTTATCAATTG